CCGCCATAGAGTGCAGTAACAATTCAGGCATGAATAGATCCAGAACTAGGACTGATCAGTTATAAAAGAGCTGGGGAAGAACACGCGCAATCGCGATTACACGATACGCTAGGTTCATGTGAGTATACCGTAAAGAACAATGGTGAACGCGCAGCAAGGCGTGGCGACGAAATATGCAGATAAGAAAGTGTCGGGGCGTAGCCATCCTGGTAGTATATAGTCATGGTCAGCTTGTCAGTGTGAGCTTATTGGCTGTAACTTTATTCAGCGGCAAGTCACCTCCGCCACGTCGCAGTGTTGTTAAACGGACGTTTGTGGTTTTTTATGGGGAGAACGCTTGCCAGGCAAAAACCCACCACGTCCTGGAACACTGGACACGGCAACAACACAAAACAAAGAAAACACTCGCACTTCGCAATCCTGACACACTATATGGACCCAGAAAGCAAAGCAAATCAATACAAGTCACCTGAGTCATTCGACTTCAACAGCTCCAACCGCCTGCAGTCGACTAGAAAGGAGAGTACACAAACATGGGAAGCAAATTTGCGAAACCTGACTGCGAATATCCGCGAAGGTAAGCGGTCAGATGCAAGCATGTCAATGTCCTATCGCCAATCGGCAGAGTTCCAGGACGTGGTGGGTTTACATCTGACAAGCGTTTTCCTTACAAAAAGCCACAAGTGTCTGCTTAACAACACTGCGACGTGGCGGATGTGACTCGCCACTCAATAAAGTCACCGTCCCAATCACACATTGGCAAGTTGACCGATACCACCTTTACAAATTCTATGCATATAGCTGCTTTCGTGCGAACACGCCTACACATTTGCTAAGTTACATGCCACTATTCTTAAATATTTTTGCGGCTTCTTTTTCATGCTTCATACACCTGACCCGCCCTGTGCACACAACCTCCTCCGACTAGTTAATCACCAACATACTCCGCATTAGTGAACTGATTCTTATCTCGACATCTCGCAGTTTGTGGACATAGACTTCTTAGAACGTTTGGGCCATATAAGCCCACACTACTGACTTCATCTTTACTACTCCCGCTCTTGATGCTGCTAATCATCCTACTATGTACAATATTACGATATGCTTACCATGCCCAAAAGGCGTGCCTCGCTTTGTCGAGAGTAAAATAGTTATATATTTACTTAATTATGCCGTCCGTGGAAGCCTGTTTGGCTTAAAACTGCTGCAAATATGATGGATTGGGGTATTCTCGTGCAATGCAAGACTGCTGGTGCCTGGAATCTGCTGTATTCCAAGCGGACGTTGGTATTAGAAAAATTGGTTCCAATCGCTAGAAAACGGCCCCTCTCTAGAGGCCCTCCGTGGATAGACAATGGTATAAGCTCTCTGATGTACAGCAGACGGGTTGTTGAACCGCTTCAGGCTGATGAGGTCAGAGCATGATCTCGGTAACAAAACCTTTGGGAATGTGTGTAAAATGTAAAGACGTTAGAAACGTTAACAATACGAACTCGCCTTAGTCACTCTCTCTAGAAAGACTCCCCAGACGCTCTAAACTTACCTTAAACGGAGTAACGGAGCTGGCAGTGTTATCCCTACGATGAGTTTCTTGGATCATGGGGAGCAAGTCCACAAAAACCCCGACGAAGCCAGGCCCATGGCGGGACAATATTACTCAGTGTACTTGACAGCATCGTCGTTCTCTGAGTGTTCTGTGTGCAATCGCTTTTCTATGTTATTGCACGTCGATATTCACACTGACAAGTCGAAAGTTCGCTGCGGTTTGGATTCTTATACATTTCCTCGCCCTGACGGCTTGCAATCCATGTTCCCCAAGGCTGCGGCCTGGTACATCGCCGCAACTATCTCGCAGTTCTTATGGCCTTCGTGTCAGTCCGGCCTTCTCCCGCCCGCTTGGAAGATGGGCATACTCAAGCCAACCTACAAAGGAGGCAACCGGCAAGCTCCGTCTAGCTACCGGCCCAATTACTTTACATCGCCAGCGTACAGAATCATGGAACGGGGCGAGAAATAAGCACCTCATCATCAGCTCAAGGGCCAAACGCTCATGCCACGTGCCCAGCATGGTTTTCACAAAGATCGCTCCTGCACTACCCACTAGTTTTGGCTTAGGAGAAATAGGCAAACCTACTGAAGGTTGGCTAACGCCTGAAGGTTGTATTAGTGGACTTCAGTGAGGCTTTGATAACGTCCCGCATGAACAGATTTCCTTCACTTCCCGACGAAGCGGCGTCGTTGAGAACTTTCGCTGATTGATTTCTGAGTTCCTGTAGGGCGGTACTCTGCTGGCGTAAGTGAATGGGACGTTTCCAAATACTGTACGCACGATCAGCGGTGTCAAATAGGGTTTGGCCATCGGCCCCGAACCCTACAACAACTTCACTTATGGTATGCTGTCTTAGCTTCAATTGGATTGCTTGGGTTATTTGGGTAAGCTGAAGATATGAACAGAGGTATCTTCGCTAGAGGATATAGTCGACTACAAGTGACGCTTGGTCTACACAACTGGTCGATTTAGTGGACTTTGCGCATTAATCAGGATATGTGTTCAGTCCTACGCATTGCCGCTCCTGAACCATTCAGCGCTTACCACATAGTTGTTTTCTTGCACAAAAATGTCACTTCAGAGAGAGACTTTGGCGTAATTGTGTCCCCATATTTAAGATCCACTCAAGTCACCAAGCGGAGGGTTGCCGCTGCCTACGGGAGGTTTCACGCCATCCGAAGAGCGTTCTGCCGTTTGACTTGGAGCACTTTAAAATCCTGTTTACCACACACGTGCGCCCGATTCTAGAATACGGCCTTCCTGCTACTTACCCTCTTACCAGATTTGAGTGTAACATGAAATAAAAGTCACAATGGCGTGGAGCAAAGTCCGTCTCGGGGTTACATGATCTGCCCTACCCCTTTCAACTTCAACGATTGAAGCCGTTTTCTCTGAAGTACCGTCGTTGCCGCAGGGATTTGCTTCTTACCCGGCGGATCTTATGGGAAGAGCTGGAGCGAGTTGCAGGATTTATTCCACATCAATATTGGGAGTTAGATTAGAGGCTACCGTTGAAAATTACTCGGACAAAGCAGGCTCAAGTTCCAGTCGCTACTTGCTATATCCACTGAAGTTGTAAATGACTGGAACGGGTTACCGGGGCCAGTCGCAGCCGCACAGACGGAGGATTGTTTCAAACGACTAGTTGCTTCAGCCTACTCGTTAAAAGCCGGAACGTCGTTGTACTTTTAAGATTTTTATCCCAGAAGTTCACATGCCACATAGCACCAGACGCCTTCCGCCCTATTGGGGATGGTTAGTGGTACGCATTCCTAACGGTTCTGTACTGGTAATCAGCCAACCAACCAGCAGCTAAAGCCACTGAGCCATGAGGGAAGTTAGTTCAGCTATATAACTTGCAAACCAATAAGGCGAAACGCGTTTGGCGTTTTCCGGACATGACTTGTTAGGTAGCTTGTGAAGTACTGGGATGAAATCCTTGTTTCTTATTGTTGAATATAATATGTTCGTGCTGCTTCGTCTACGATTGCGACGGCCCTCTCCGGAGTTTCCGTAGCGCAATGTCGCTAGCATCCCAGCCATGATCTGGAAGCGATGAACCTGACAACAGCTTCACCCCTGCTCTCTACTAACCAATGAACCAGTGAATCAACCGAAGAAAAAGACAGGCCAGCCCTTGAATAATAACCTGTTTACTGTCTTCCACCACATACTATACAACTGCGACAGACCTTGTCTGTGTTTATGGGTCTCTTACTGAGCATCGAAAACTGGAATAGGAAGTCGAGCTGCAAGGTTGGTTGTGCCACATTGATTTGGCCGCTTTTAATAGGTTAATAGGCGTATGCAGACACGGGAATACACCAGGACATTTTAAAGCCATGTGATGATAGATAAAACTGGAGTAATCTCTGAAATAGGCAATTGTAAAGTATCGTAAGCTTTCGTCGTAAGGTCAGCGTGGGTTGTCGTATAAATTTCGGTTAGATCCTTAGGTTTGTTTGCATTAAAAAGACGCAGGTAGAGCGGTAAGTTACCGGAGGCGTTCAAAATCATGGAGCGTCTCAGTGGCCTCAGGCCTACCGATCTGTTTGCACCAGCTACATCAGACGACTTGCGGGACAGTTGCGTTAAGTTGAAGCAGCGAAGATCCATGTGTTATAGGTCCGAGAGTAGCCTTGTAGTGATCCCCAAAGTAAGGAGAGCGTTGTACATCCGTTAGCCGGTCATTCATGCTTCCACTTCTCTTTACCTTCACATTTCGTTTAGTGCGGTCCCTCACTAGGTGGTTGTGATGTGAGCATTCAACCACCGACGAGATAGCTGCTTTCCATTGCTGCTCTCCGCGTCCAGTACGACCTAGGTACGCACTAGACACGGAAGCTATCGGAATGCACCACGAAACACATATTACACTACGCTAGTGTTAAGAGCCAGGTTCTTTGAAAACCGGGTTGTGTCCAGGTGTAACAACCTTCCTTCTACTTTATTAGGATACGAAACTGCAGATGAATTTAAATGTAGTTTAGACAAAAATTGGCTGGCCGTGTTGTCAGAATACCTTTGAGTTGGTGAATGTCGCTGTTCTCATGACTTAATGTGTGTATTGGAACGTCATGCGCTTGATTCGGTTGTTCGCCATTATAGCATCAAGCGCATTCAACCAAGACGCCGTATTGGTGGCTCTTTTTCGTTTACTAGTACACGAAACGCAACGATTATTAAGAGCAAGCTTGTTTCGTCCCTTTATCCTATTCGGTCCTTTCGTGTAAATGACAAAGCAAGATAGGTTCCAGATTTTTTTGATCTCTCAAGTCCTAGGAGCGTTTTATCATTTTCTGGCTTATCGACCTGCTGAGGAAGGAGCACTCACGGGATACTTCTCTCGTTTCAATGGAGGCTGCACTTAGTTAACCTTGACCTTGCAAGTTGACTTAACGACCTTACGTACCTGAATGCGCTTTCTAGGTCGAATGGTCGCCATGGCAACATGCACAATGCATACGGTGCGCACGCGTCTTCTGCGTTGCTCTTCACTCCGCCTGATGCGGTTGCAGATAACGCCCAGTTACGGAAGGAGTTAGCTGACGCTCTCCATTTACTCGCCGAAAGGGACCTTGAAAATCAGCGTGAAAGGGGGTATTTCTAATTCCTTAAAATTTGTTCAATGTTTCAACCTCGTTATTTTCGACGATAAATATGTTTCTATCCTGATTCTCCATGAAATCTTACAAACTTCATTGGTTTTTACTATCTCACTCATAGCACTTACCAGCTCAGTCGGACTTCGCGCTTTTAGTCTAACTTAAATCGTTAAATAATTGAGAGACGATCACATTCCAACACTCGTATGACATCCGTGACTTTATGACGCGTTAGTCTAACGGTATATATCCGATACTCAGATTTGAATGGCTAACCATAGGCGTGCGGCAGAACACACGGAAATAAGCTAGAAAATGTTTATTAGAAGGTTGCTAAATCCTAAGACTAAAAATAGGGCATCGGAAGATAACTTGCTGTGTGGTAGGGTGCTGAGTGCGATCGGAGAACCGACCTTCCTTAGACTAATGCGCTATAAAGGTCATCTGACCAATGTCGGGAAAGCACTTTAAACCATTTACCCAATTAATCTGTGGTACAGTGATTAAACTTTTCCAACTTAGTGGCCATTATTGTAACGATTTGATGAATTAATCGTAAGCAACTTTTCGTCGAAGGCTTGCCACTCATTTTCCTCCCCGATATTCAAGTGGTTTAGTTGGACTGGGCTGATGTTATCGTCTTGCTGGGTGACTCCACAGGCCGTCCTACTTGCACTTAACCACTTAGCGATTGAAGTATCACATGCACTTTTCACCATTCAAGTGCAGAGCATTTTTGAAGACGCCTGTACCTCCCCTTACCCTCGGTTGCGAAAAACCGGTTATGGAGCGTTTTGTCTATCTGAGAAGCTGCATCAACGCCGATGGAACTGTTGAAGACGAGATTTCGATGCGTGTCTCAAGAGTTCGTTTCTTTTTCTCCAAGCTGGGACACTTGTGGCGCCGCCATGACATCAGTCTCTCCCTCAAAGGGTGGGTTTATTTTGCGTGTCTGCGCTATACTGTTGTGCGGTTGCAGGACAGTCTGTTCGCAACGTTGATACGCGCCGTCTGTTTGTTTTCGAGCACCGTTGCTTGCGGTCTTTTGCCTGTGTGTAGTGGCTGTGCAAGTTAGACAGCGAGGCTTAAGTGGACGCAGCCACTCCCTCGAGAAGCTCGTCCCGTTGCGTCAGCTGCGTTGGCTTGGACACATATTGCACATGCCCGCAATTGGCAGCTGAAAAGTTATCTAAGCCTCCGATCAGGATGCACTGCGTACCGAACTTTCGCTCTCTTGTCCTAGTGACGCTGAGCTTCAGTGGAATAGGATCTCCGCCGTTTTGCACGACGCAGGAGCATCAGTCGTCACCGCACCATTCAGTGTATATCCGAGAGATCGGTGACCTATTGGAATCCAGAAGAAACCTCCCTGCTGACAATGTGATCAGGCGAACTATTAGGCGGGAAATAAAGCGGAGCCTGCATGCTAAAAAGGAAGCCTGGTGAACCAGTCGGGCCCAGGAATTGGAGGAAGCAGGAGCAGTAAAAAATTATCACAAGCTTTTCCGGCTGATCTGCACCACTGGTCCAAGGAAACTAGGCGTCAGTGAAACAATCAGAGACGCAGGTGCACTGATTCTCAATAAGGAGCGCCATACTGCTTGTTGGGCGGGAAACTTTCAAGATCAGTTAAGTTGATACCATGCTCCCGGACTTCTTCCTATTCAGGCGATGTAGGATGAGCCATGGACGGTTAGCTTAGAAACTCCATCGGAGGCTAAGGTCCGAAATGCGATCACAGCCTTCAATCGCTCTTATGCCACTGCCACGAATTCTCTCCCACTTGACTGTTTAAGGATGGGTGGAAGTGAAGTCCTCTGCATAGCACTACCCTCTGTTCGCTAATGTCTGGAAGGAATAGACCTCTCCGGCTAACTAGAGCGAATCGATTATGGTGGCGACATACAAGAAGGGCAGTCGCACAGACTGTTCTAACAACAGCGATATACGCCTAATGTCAATTGTGACAAAATAATGGCCTCAATTCTCGTCCGTCGCCTCATTAGGATGCGTACAAAACTGTCGCTCGATTTGGAGCACGAGCGTGGATTCTGACAACGCGCTAGTTTGCGCCGACCTTCGGGATTGTTTCGGTGGACTTCCTTAACCGCGCTATGAACGCATGGATATTTGCCAGCTGGAGAAGCCAGGTTTTCTGAATGCGTATTAAAATACGCTGGTACCTGAGCTGAGTAAACCTCCATTGAGCTAGCATCGTTCAGAAATTCAAGTACCTGGGCAGCTATATTAGCTCCCGTGAGCTCGAAGAAGAGATTACGAGCCGTATAGCAAAATCTCGAGGTGCTTTTACCAATCTCCGCTACCTGTGGCGCAGGCGCGACGTCACGCTCGCCCTGAAGGGCAGTTTATGATGCAGCCATCAGTTCAACCCTCTTATACGGTTGTGAAACCTGGCCCATCAGATCGACAGACAGACAGACACGTTCGACCATCGCTGCCTTCGCAGTTTGGTTCATATCTGGTGGGAGCACCGCGTGAGCAATGAGCGTATTCGGCGCCGTGCATTTGGTGCAGGAAGAGCTAGTGAACCGCTCGGTACCATTATATCACTCACCAGGATCCGATGACTGGGTCAAGTGTTGCGCATACCAGCACACCGACTCCCGCGAGGCGCATTGTTTGCTCGCCGGGGGTGTAGTTGGATGAGGAGGAGGAGATCCTAAGCGATGACTTGGTCGGGAGAAATGAAAACCCTCACTTCGAAGTTGGCGTCGGTTGGTACATCCCGACTGCCTGACTGGGGTTCTAAGGACGGTGAACACGTTTGGTTGAACACACTTGCTTATATGGCTAGGAGCCGGCCCCAATGGCGTTTGTGTTGTGAGTTTCTTTGTCCCTCCCCCTCCCTTTTTGATCCTTCTCCAATTTCAATCTCATACAAAATGCATAATATAATATTTAACATTTTTTGTAGTGTATTTTTTATACCTTACCTGTATGTATTGTGGCACAGCTGAGGTGTTTCTCACCCCTAACTAACGTGTATTGATGATGATGGTGATGAAGCCCCATTGAACACATTTGAAGATCACTGCTTGCATATCCGCCAGAGGTAGTTAGCAGCGGACATGCCTTCATTTGCTAAATGAAATTTTTAACCTAGACATTGGATCTACCCATTATCTGGAACTTGCGGATGCTCGCCCTTGTTCCGGCTGGAAGCGAATACAATGATACCGTCACAGTTCTCAGTGCGAAGCTACGTGCTATCCTGATGATAGACCGCGAAGCCTGGTAGTCTCCTCGTGCCTCAGAGATGGAAACAGCCGCTGCGCTTGGTAACCATCAGAAGTTATTCCGTTTGAATCGATAAACGGGTAGCAGGAAACTTGGTTTTAGCGGGACACTAAGCGACGAGAGAGGACAGCCAATCCATAGCTTGTCAAAGTGCTTGGAGCGTTGGGCCGAAAACTTTGAGAAGCAGTTTCCTCAGTCACTGCTGCTAGTTTCTCCATTGGCCGTTCCCTTGGATGCGCCATCGCGCGCAGTAATTTAACGCGTGATCAGGCGGCTGCTATTGGACAAGGCCTCCAAGGCAGAGCGACTTCATCCAACCCACTTCAAATTCCGGGGCCTGCTCTTCTCGATGACTTACATAACTTAGTAGGGAACCTAAGTGAACAGGAGACTGTCCGGACAGACTGCAGGCACTCTGTAATAGTTAACATTTTCAAGGAAGGCTTCCGATCCAAATGCGGCAATCATAGAGGAATCAGTCTGATCTTCATTACCTCTAAGTTACTTGTGTCTGTCGTCCTCCATAGACTGCCTGGCACTCTTGAAAGCCAGATGCGCGAGGAGCAAGCCGGGTTTCGTCGAAATCGAGACTACATTGATCACATCTTCACAGTATGTCAGCTGTTGGAGCACTGCCATGTTTATTGGCGACCCACCGTACTTATGTTCCTGGACGTCAAAAAGACCCTTAACTCGATTGACTGATGAAACGCATTAAGGAGCACCTACCACGTTGGTTGCGTCGAGGTGGTACTGGAGCTATAACTAGCTCAGTTATGGCTCATCTGGTTGATAGTGGGCATGAGGTTGACCCAGTCAGTGCCTTTCGAATACTGTACAGGGTCCCTCCACTCCAGTCGAAAGGCCTGCGCCTCCGGACCCTTGCTACTGCCGAGGCGATCAGCATTCGGTTGTACCAACCTCTTTTGTGTGCACAAAAGAAGCTGATCGAAGCTGTTCAGCTACCTTGGCCAGCCAAAACGGATCCTTCGGACAGCAACTGCAATTGTGCAACGGTACCTCAGACCTAGTTTGTTGTTTGTTACTGGTTCATGTCTTTGATCGACACGTGATCTATCTCATTTGAACTGATCGTTAATCCCCTTGTACTTTCCTATTGCGATTTCAACCATATGATTGTACAGGTCTGAAGATGAATCATCGAAAACAATTGTTCACCCTCGGTCTTTCGTTCTTGATAATGAAATGGGAATTTTCCACTTACTGACTGATGTGTCCTTCGAGACTGTTTACTCAGGAAAAGCATGCCCGAGAAATATGTAATCATTATCCGTGCGCTACATGCTCCTAGCTCGGGCAGGGTGAGGGTTTCATACAAACTGTCATCGTCCTACAATATCTCCAGTGGCGGGAGACAACGTTTCTCGCTGTCGTCCTTCAATGCACCGACTCGGAGACGCTGTCGCAGCACCTACGATGGGCACATAAAAACTGAAGTCAGTTCACACATTGCAAAGGGTGGAACTGCCTTCTTGAATCTGCGGCATCTCTGGCGACAGAAGGGAGTTACCCTCCGTCTGAAAGGCCGTGTATACAAGGCCACAGTGAGGTCTGTCCCGCTCTATGGTAGTGAAACTTGTCCCCTTCGTTCTGAAGATCTGAGGCACCTTCAAGTCTTTGATCATTGTTGGTGTCGGATGGCACCAGCGTGTCCGCAACGATGATGTGCGTAGGCGAGTACTAGCTAGCTAGCTCGTTAGAACAACAGCTAGCACT